TATGTATATACTGTATATATACAATATGTTTAATTGTCGTAGAGCAATAAACCAACTGTTTAGAATAGTTTTTAAACAGAAGGGATCAACATGAAACTGGCAGCGACAACTTTTAACAGCAGACAGTATAATGAGCAATAAATAGGTAAAATGATTAAAATAATAGTTAGAAAATGGAATGACCGCTAAGGGCGCTCTATCCCAAAGAGCTGCGAAATTATAAAATCTATATTACGTAACAGTTAAATTTAAATGCAAAATCAACTAAATATGGTGTATAAAGTTTTATATTTTTATGAATGACGAATTAAAAGAGATAACAGCTGCCAGATAAAGCCTAACAACAAATGTTGAAAGTAAGGTGCTACTTTCTTATCAAAGACGCCAAAAAATTTTGTTGAGGGTGCTGACTTTGATAAAATAAATAAGAATGTATAAGTGTCATTGAAAGAGCGCCAAATATTTACCATGTGCTGGAAAGCCCACTGTTTACTTTTTAGTGAATGATATTTCAATATCGGGTACAAGTATGTACATACATACGACTACATATGCATTTCGAAAATATTTTTATCCTTTAAATATCTACATCATGAGCCTTTTTGAACTTTATTTCGAGAGGTTAATTTGAAAAAGCATAAGGTAGTTGAATTGTTCAACAAAAGAACACGCTTAAACAGACTCGAAATATCAAGTATTAAAGGGCTAAAGAATTTTACGAAAAAATTTCTTACAAAATTTTACTATGAAGCAAAGCTTTTTAAATAAATTTTTTCATTATATGTATCTTAATTTACACGCACACATTTGAAATAATGGATAGTCAAAATTTTAAGTTTTTTATTAAAACTGAACCTTTGCTGCCATTTTTAATGAACACAAAAAAGTAAGTGCGCCTGGGCCACATTGTAAAAGTGAAACTTACGTTACATACCTACATAGTTTGTCTCATAACCAATACAGTGGGCATCCAATATAACGAATATTATGTTGTTCGCCTATTTCGTAATATCGAAAAATTCGTTAAATCGAGTGATTCTTCTGTGAAGAAAAATCGGGACATTTCTAAAGCATCGAATCCGAACATACAATTTTGTTTTTAGAATAAAAATACATTGGTAACATCTTTTAATACAAAATAAAGAGAAAAAAATTTGAGGAATGATCGCAAACATGTATAAACACAATATACATATGTACATATATGTATATGTATATGTATCTACAGTTTATATTTTCCAAGCTTTTTTCCACTGGGATTTTTTTTCAAATCCCTTAATATCAAAAGTAACTTGAAGTTAACACACATATACATATACATACATACATATTTTCTGAAGTTAAACTACCGTTGACGTAACGAAACATTTGCTTTTTACTAGAACGCGAAGTTTCAGCGTTCGTTTTATCGAATATTAAAAATCGTTTGCATTCATAATTTTCACGATACGTCGAGCCGAAAATTCGTTATTCCGAAAGTTCGTTATACTGGACGTGCACGTGCATACATATTTATTCATTTCACTGGTTCAAAATTGTGAATAAAACGACAGGATAATTAATATAATCTTCTTAGCTTAAGGTTATATTTTACCTTTTTTTCTATCTAATATCGATAACATAATCGATAAAATATAGCTAACCAAATCGATAACAAAATCGATACAAATATGGATAACCAAATCG